GTGAGTCTTAGGGCAAGTGGAAGAGTGAAGACCAGCCCTACAGGATTTAATAAATGGTTATCCGATGGTGCCTCTAGCTCAGGTGGTGACAGGGGAAAGCGGAAGGCTGATATTGGGGGGGGGGATTCTCGGCTGAGTCTAAGACTAGCAAAGAAGAGGCAGCTAGAGATCTGAAATGCAGAAGGGTTTGGGATGAACAGGCTGAAGCAGATGCTAATGATGATGGAATGACTTTTGAGAGGCCAAAAAATGGAGAGGGGGCGGGTCAGGCTCATTAGACCCGCCGAGTCTATGTTGGATGCTTGGAGTGAAGAAAACTTACATTGGTTGTTTTATTTTGGTCTGGTTTTGTTACTTTGATTTTTATTTTACTGTTACGTTTTTCTGTTACGCTTTTATTCCTTGTAAGACTCTTGCATTAAGGTTGGGGGAGGGAAAGTCTGCGGTAACCGTCATTGGCTTTAAGTTGCCCAATTTTGGTCTAGCGAGTTATACTGCTTTTTTACAGGTGGTTAGCTCTCAGTCTCGGCCACGGGCGGATGGTTATTTGTGGTTCTTTTCTAGTTTTACTCCCTTGCTGAATGCTATTTTTATGAATTAAGCCTTCTTCGAGCAAAAAAAACAAGTGAGTGAGTAGTCAGTTATCCAATCAATCAATTTTTGATTGGCTGTGTCTACGTGGATTGGTGGAAGAAAGATTGAGTAATTTGGAAGAGTCTATAATACGGAGTAAGTTTTGTTTTATAGTCCATATTAAGAAAATAAATTTGACTTTACTGTGGAGTGCACTATTTTGCACTGTATAAACACTGTTTGTCACTGTTTAGACATTGTTTGGCACTTTTTTGATGTAGATTATTTGCCAAATAAGTAAAGTTTTGATGTGTGAAGTTAATTTCGGGACTGCCCGAAAAGGAAAGTGATAAGTTAATTTTGGGACGGAGGGAGTACGTACTATTTTTCTTTGTCTCTTCTAAATTTTGTTTTGTTTTGTGCAGTTGTCTCTTCTAATTTTGTACTAGTACTTGTTTCAAATTGTTATGTCGTTAACGTTTTTGTCAACTTTCTTTTGGTTGTTTTAAGTCCCAGACCAGACCAGACCAGACTTCCGTAGTTATATAATACATTAATCAAAGAATGGCTAAAAGAAGACCGTGGAGTCTTCGGTGGACAAATATGTGAGCAGTACCGATTTGGACAAAAAACTGAACAAAAGTGGGTTAAAATGTCTTAAATACCCCTGATCTTAACCCCAAATTTCAATCCCTGCCCTATCAAGATTTACGCCCCAGACTTCCAGAGACGTCTTCACCCTTGCGCCCAAACATCATCCTCACCAATCGTCTGCATCATCTCATTGCTCGACAGTGGTGGCTTCGATTAGCGATGGAGGCAGTTACAGAGAGCGTCGGCGGCTACACCTGCCACTCTCACTCTCTTCTTCTCCTTTCCTCTCCTTCTAACCGCTTCTCGAGCTTCACCTTCTTCAGGCTGCGCCAACTCCTCCAATGGAGACGATGAGCTTCGTAGATCCGGTCAGGAATTTCATCCTTCGATGGCGAGATCCATCTGACGACTTGCTTCATCGGATTTAGGAGGGAGGAGTGGCGGAAGGCAGGTCCTGATCTACCTTTACCAGATCTGGAATGTAACCGGTGTTTTGTGGGGCTCTGCTTAGGCTAGGGTGGGGCAAAGAGAAGTGGCGGAAGGCAAGGGTTTGCCGTAGGCAGTGGCCGATTCAGATGGTGGCGGTGGCCAGGTTTGACGGTGGCGGTTGCCGGGTCAGTGGTGGTGGCTGGAGGCCGGTGGCCGGCACACATGGTCATGGTGACCGAAGTTGGTGTGTCACTATGGCGGTGTCACTGTGGTCGGTGATCGAAGTTGGTGTGTCACTATGGCGGTGTCACTGTGGTCGGTGGGCAGTCACTGTGGTTGGTGGGGCATTCACCGTGGCCGGTGGATAGTCACTTTGGCCGGTGGGGCAGTCACTGTGGCCGGTGAGGAAGTCACTGTGACCAATGGTAGCTGTTCCATTGGTCACTACTTTACTGAGTCACTGTGATAATTGTCAGTTTGGTCACTGTAAATATTGGTTACTTTGGTCATTGAACACTTTTGGTCACTTTGGTCACTGTACCGGGTCACTGTAGCAAGCTATGTGGTCCTGGGTTCATTAAGGGTGTAATGGTCCTATTAGTAAATTTTAGTCACATTTTTAGAAATTAAAACATAACTATTCATTTTTGTCCACCGATCATTTTTAAGTAATATTGTAGTCCTAACCCCTACATTAATACACAGAGACCAGATGTTTACCATACCAGACCAGACCAGACCAGACCAGATCAGACCAGACCAAACCAGCAAATTTCAGTCCAAAAGAAAACATCCTAATATTCAACCTAAACCATTCATATATAAAATTAATTCAACTTTAATAATTAAAATTTACATATTTAGAAACTAAACTAAAATCTCTATAAAATTACAAAATCTAAATTTAAATTTAATTAAGAATTGATATTTTAATTATATTAAGTGATTAAATTGAGTCAGTTTAATTTAATCCAAAAAAAATCTAATTTTCAATTCAATTTGGCGTGGAGGGAGTATTTTTTTTGTTATTGTTAGGCTTTCTTAATTTACTTTTTATATAATTAATTTGTTGCTCCTATTAATTCTTTTTTTCTCTATACATACTTTAACATTTTAACTTTTACTGCGTATTTTATCTATGTGTCTTTCAAACTTAATAAAATTATATAAAATGAAGGGGTATATTATTACTCCCTATATATTACACGGAGTAGGTGATACCGTGATATCGAGGGGCGCGGGTGTTGGGGTGGCCAATCAGGCCACGACCCAGCCCAAAATTTAAAATTGCTTATATTTCTAATATAAAACTTAAAACTTGATGTGTAAAAATTTATCTGTAAAAATTTTTTATACCGGCCCAGCCCCAACTCTTACTCCTGGCTACGCCCTGGCAGGGGCGGATCTCTTCTATGCAAGGGTGTTCATGTGAACACCCAAAAGTAAAAAAATAATGGGAATATATATATATATATATATATATATATATATATATATATATATATATATATATATATATATATATATATCCGAAATAGAGTAATAATTAATTCATTCATATTTTAAAGAAAAAATGTGTAATTTTGATCATCCAAAATGTAAATACTAGGTCCGTCACTGCGCCCTGGTGATATCCTTTCAACAAAATAGGGTGATGCCGCATTTAGCGCCGACGTTCCATTAACATAAGTGGACAATGTGAAATTACTAAAAAAATAGTGATCATTTTTCACTCGAATTGCTATAGTTTTCCATTTTTATATTTGGGAAATTTATCGGAATATGACTAAAACTCAATGAGTTTCTCAATCTATAACCTAACTAGTTTTTATACCTTTGTATGACTGAAAATCCAAAAACAAATAGAAAATTCGTTTCTATTTAAATGTTTAATGACAAAAATACTCTTATTTAAAATATGTGCATTGTGCACTAATTTCGTCCAATTAAAATTATTGCACTTTATATTGACGTTAATGCCAACATTAATGCATAACATAAATGCACGACATTTCTGCACATTCAGTAATAATCATTGCACTTCCGTCAAAATTAGTTCTCTTCACATTCACTTTAGGAAATTATTTTTATTTTTTATTTTTTCGATTTAATGATTTTATTATTTCACATCTAATTAGGTATATTGTATTTCAATGCTCAACAAACTTTCTCAATGCATTCATTCATTGCCATGTACAATATTATTAATTGTCATATTCATTGCCTATACTCAACAGTCAATACTTATTGATATGTTCAATGCCAATGTTCAATGTCAATGTTCAATGTCCACAAACCCTAATTTTTTTATTAAACAGAACAGAAAATTACTGGCTTGTCAATTACCGGCCGCACTACCGATCCCAAATTTCATCTCTGCCGTCCATAACACATCTCCATGATTTCGTGGGCATCATATGACTATTCCAAATTATCAAGCTTTATGAATTGATTTCTGTTCCTCCGAAATAGAATTCCATCAACAACAGGCAACAACACAACTTCGGTGTGGCGAAATTCAAATGAATTCTAATAAAACCAAAACATATTCTGACACGATACGGATGAAAAGCCAATCTCCTTTCTATCCTAATAAATGGTGGGATGAGATAAAATCAAGTAGAATTACTTTTCAGTCAAAATTCTATCAAAACGAGTGGTGCCAGAGACAAACGGCGGACACGACTCTATCCACACAGCAACTTTCTCCAGCGATAACAATGGCTACTTCTACTTATGCGGAGAATCATTGAAGCGACCCAGCAATGAAGTGCAGTGCAGTAAACTTTCAATCGGATATACTGGACGGCGGCGGACATCGAGCTATGGGGCGGCGGCGCACGGCAGGGGCGGCGGCGCGCGGCAGGGGCGTGCGGCTGTAGCCGGGTGGATCTATGGAGGTGGAAGAATGGAAACCAGGGTTGGAGAAAAGAGTAGGAGCCTAGGGTTTTATAGATATAACCTAAAGGGTATATTTGTCCACCTAAATTATTTATTTATTTATTTATTACGAATTTTAATTAAATATTATGAATTTTAATATTATTTTGGTAAAAAAACTAGTTAGGTCATAGATTGGAAAAGTGAAGAAGTTTTAGTAGGATAATTATCTCTTTATATTTCCATATATACTCAATCATTATGTTGTAATTCAATTATTCACGTTGTATCTTAAAAAGTATTCAACCAACGTTAGACAAGTCTAAAAGAGTTACTCTATACTCCGTATATTAGAGCGAATTGATAATTAAAATATGTTCCTTCTTGACTATACTTTTAAAGAATTTAAGAAGAGAGAATTCTCTAAATAGGAGTAAAAACGTTTTGAAATCCCAAAATAGGAGTATCATGTTTTTTATTCCTTAAATATGAGTAAATTTCTGCCAAATTTGACATTACAAGGCTTTAAACATGACATTTTTTTTCAAACATAGCAGATTACTCCTATTCAGGGAATAAAAAACATGATACTCCTATTTTGGAATTTCAAAATGTTTCTACTCCTATTTAGGACAATTTCTGATTTAAAGAACTCTTTTTGATGAAAAAATATTAAACGAATTTCTTGACCCGAGCACTTGATAATAATATTGATCGAAACGGATAAATTAATAAATAAACATCTGAAGACTTGTGCCCTTCATGTCTCCATTCTTCTGGCATCAGAACATATATTTGAATATACAACAAAATATAATATTTTATATTCAGTCTTTTATTTATGTTTATTATTAGTTACAACATAATATTGGAGCTAACTAGAATGAATTGTTACTCCATAGCCCATATTGGCTGACAACTAGAACAATAAAGACATCAAATTTATAAATAAAAATAAAGAATAAATATCTAACTAGTTCTTTTACTAACAAATAATTCTTCACTTCCAGAATAGAATAAAAGTAACTAATAATTCTATTTGGTGAGGAATAATTTTTTATTTTTAGCAAAAATAATATTTTTCCATTATTTAACAACAGGATGGACAGATCAGAGGACCTCACCATGCATTTAGGTAACCAATTTTGCAAGAAGCTGCTTCAATTTCCCAACTTGAATGCATGATCCCAAGCTCAAAGGAGGTATATATATAATTCTAGGTTCCCCTTTTAAATAATTTGTTAGTTTATAATTATTATTAGTATATATCTATATTATTATACATATATATATATATGTATGTATATACTATATATATTACATTATTTTATGCAGGCACATGAAAGCATTAATTGAAAAGGAACACTGCTTGGAATCTTCATTCAATTCCAGTTAAGCAGCTCTTCAACCATTTGCAATGCCACTCTACTTTCTTCATCCATTTCAGCAATAATAGCCTCATTAGATGATGATGACATTGATGATAATGAAGATGATTCTCCTCCACCCCAAGAATTATACCAACCTCCGTCATCGCCGTCACTCGATGACGGCGATAGGATTTGAAGTTGATCTTCCAACATCTTTTTGCTGCCCCCGAGCTCGATTTTCGTAAGCCAAACCGACCCCGAACCGCCGCTCTTTCCTCCGCCTCCGGGTTTTTTCTGCCACACCCCGATGTCGCAGCTGTCGGTGTCGAGCCTCAGGCAAGTGATCGACGGGGACGGGTTTTTGCAGCATTTCTTCAGCTTCGCGCTTAGAACGTCGGCGGGGATCGGCGGGGACGGAGTTACACCACTCCCGTCGCCGCTGCCGCCGGCGTTTACGGCTTTGCTGCCCTTGTCATTCACAGTGGGAAAGTTGGTTTTGGCATTCTGGCCGTTCATCAATACCGCTGCTTGATCGTACGCTTTGGCGGCCTCCTCCGCAGTCTCAAATGTCCCCAGCCAAATCCTTTTCTTTCTATATATGTATATATGACCCACCACACAAACAAACACATCTTTTAAGTTATTTATTTATGGTAAATCTCAATTATATTTAAAATTAAAATGAGCACAATCACTAAAGTTACTAAAATTGCCACTAAAGTATAAAAATCACATCTTTTATTTTTATCCACTTCTTTCATTTTATACGTAGTACTCCGTAAATTATACTCCTCTATCCCATTTTAGTTAGTCAAACTTGACTTTTTGAGATAATGGTGTCTAACTATGAGTGATTATATATTTATATAGAGAAAGTGTTAATATATAATAAGAAAATGATATGAAAATGTTTATTGTTAAAAATTCTATCATAAATCTATTATATTATTAAATTTTGCATAAATATATTAGTTAAAATAATTGGTCAAAGTTTATTATCTTAAGCTGGAAAAGTCAAATATGACTAACTAAAAAGGGACGAAGATACTATATTGTCATTTTTAAATAAAAATGTGATCTTTTGTATTTTAATGAGTATAATCATTAAAGTGATCATAATTATGTTTTATTTTACACTAGAGACTAACGTTATCTCGTAATAAATTCAATGATTTTTTGTCTATGTACTACCTACTCCGTATTACTACGTACATTACAAAACGTCTTTATATTTTCTGAAATAAAATTATTTAAGTATAGCTCAGAAGTCGGAATAAAAAATTATCAGTCAATGGATAGTGGGTTGACCACACAAACAAATTTAGTCATCTTTTTACATTCAACGAACTATACGTCACCAACTCAAGAGAATATAAATTTACTCAACTACTCAACTACTTTTCATTTGGTTGGAACATTTAATTTATAGGGAGTATAATAGTATTAATGCTATCATAAATAGATACTTAATGTATGGTGTAAGAATGATTAGTGGATTTTTAGTTCAATATGAGATAGCGCATAGGTTATATAGAGTAGAAATCGTGTACAAACTAGCTAGTATATATGCAAGTCTAGTCTAGTACATAAAATGTGTACTATCATAATAATTACTACGTATATTTAAGAAATTAGGGTAAATAAGAGTAAATAATGCATGTGTCATATTCATAAATATGATTAGATATGAAAAGAATAATGGAGTAGTTTATAATTTCTTGCAAGGTGAATGTCTCTAAATTTCATTAAAAATTAAGGATGATCATATTTAAAAAAAAAGTGAACTGCTTTAGTTTTATTTATAAAATTTCAACTATCTTTTAATTTCTGGCAATATACATTAGGTTTAACTAATAATTACCGAACGTACGTATAGTAAGTGTATCAGACTTAAATGCATCAACAATACAATGCTTAAAGTTAGCCCATATTATCTCTGTTCTATTAGACTATTTTTACTTTTATATTCTCCCAAAAAATTCATCACTTTAATTTCTCTTTAAATTAATTAATTTATACAGAGTCAATATGTAGTACTCCCTCCCTCCCTGTTTTTTCTCCCCTTTTGACCCGGCACGGGGATTAAAATAGTAAGTTTTGTGTGGTGGAGAGTTGTGCAGAGGAGAGAAATGTGTAAGAATGATTATGAATCACAAATTCTTTGCCAAAAAGAAAAATGAGAGATAATTTAGGGACGGAGGAAAAAGAAAAGTTTGAAGATAATTAAAGGATGGAGGAAGTAATTCTTATAATTTCTCTACTCTCCACATAAATTACAATCACACTTTTTTAATTTTGTATTCCAAAGACAAACATAACAAATTAACTTGAAAAGTAAGGTTGGACTCATGGAGTATTATGTATTAAAGAAGAAAAATTACTTTTGTACATGCCCCGTTTATCAAAGCCCCTATAACGAGGCAATTCGTTAAAGAAGATTGAAAAATTGGAAAATTTTGGAAATTTTATGCGGTAAAAAAAAGCGTGTACACAAAGAATAGCCAAAGAATACAGGTGTATATATAAGGGGATGTGTATATAATCTATAATGTGCTATCATAAATAGACTAGCAAATACCATTAAGTGTGTATAAAATTACAAAGAATGTAGGTGAAGAATTAATTAATTAAAAGAATGAAATAAAATAAGTGCAAATGCCCAGAGCAGGGTAGTGATGAATTGAAGATATATATACTCCACACTATATATGTGTGAATTTGTGAATATATATACAGTATATGAACATACAGCAAAGGGTGGCGGATTTCTGAAACCCAAGAGCCCCACTGGCGTTGTCTGACACCTCTGAACTTGTTGGGCTGTACCATTCTTTTTCCTGCTTTCTTCCTTCAATTCAGCTCAGAGATTATGTTTTCTGAACAGTGATCTACAGATAGATAGAGAGAGAGATGTATGTATGTTGTTAGATGAGAAGAATCAGATGTTATTGATGATGGCGCCGTATATATATACATATACATATAGTAGCTGGCTATAGGTTTGTCGGTGGAGGAGGAGATGAAATGATAAGAGAAGAAGTGAGAAGAAGTGAGAAGAAGAGACTGGGATGATGGGTATAAAAAAATTAAATTAAAGAGAAAAGTCAGACAACAGAAAGTAATTTTGAAGTGTGGATTCTTATGTATGTAGGGTGGGTGTCATCAAAGTTTCACCTGCTTTGTCCATGCTTTCAATCCTATGATCTATATGTGACCAAGTCTACTCTAAAACTTGTTTCGAAACTAGTCTAGTTAATGAATATCTACCTTGTACGTACCATACTCTACAAATTTGTGTACAATGTGATTAAAATATGGGAAAGTTCCCGAAATAGGACTAAAATAGTTGGAAAATTCCAAAATAGGACTGTCATGTTTTTATTCCCAAAATAGGACTAATTACTGCCAAATTTGAAAAATACTGCCATGTTTGAAGTCTGGTACTGCCAAAACATGACAGTAATTAGTCCTATTTTGGAAATAAAAACATGAAAGTCCTACTTTGGAATTTGCAAACTTTTTTAGTCCTATTTCGGGTAATATCTCTTAAAATATTAATCCCTCCTCCATTCACATTCTTCTTTACACTTTCCTTTTTTGTTGGTATCACATTCTTCTTTACACTTCCTTATTTGCCTTACAAACAGTGCCAAACAGTGTCCAAACAGTGCCAAACAGTAAAGTCAAATTTATTTCTTTAATATTTGTGAAGTCAAACTGTAAAGAAGAATGTGAACCGGAGGGAGTATTAATCAGCATTATAATGATATCATACCAGTCACTTAGAGCTATCTCAAATGGAAAAATGGATAGCAGTAAAGTTGTTCCTATGTAATGTAACATAGGTCGGGGATACACGTAAAAAGCCTGTTTGGTAACACTGAAATCAGCTGAATCGGCTGATTATACTGAAATTTATGAAGTTCTGATTGAAGTGGATGGATTGGCCGATTATGCTGATTTTTGAAAAAAATTATATTTAAAATATTTATTATTAATAACATAAATAAAAAATTATATGAAAGATTACCTAAAATGTTCCTCTGCGGTAATTTCAGCCAATATAGCCAGAAAAGTAACTTCAACAACACTTTTTCTTATTATTTCACAATTCAGCGCACGAAACCAAAAGTGACGTGTTTGGTGAAAACGTTATCTGATAAGCCCGATGAGTTGAAAAAATGGACTACCAAACAGGCTCAAAATGATTATTTTAATCTAATAGTATACATAGTATGTAGACAAAATGGTGTGTAGGGAAAATGAAAAAATGGGGAGAGAGAAATAAATTGTAAACCATGTCTATGACAACATTCACAAATGGACATTGCACCGGATTCAAGGATTGGAGCAAATTAAAAGTAGATGAAATGGATTAAATGTGATAAAAATGAAAATTAAAATAAATATGAATATATGTAGCTGAGTCCTACGCATAAAAAGACTCAGCTACATGTAAGAGTGTGTAAGGAACTATTAGCCTATTAGGGTGTTCTTAGTAACTTGTTTGAAAAACAGAGACTTTATAAAAGAGAATTTTTACCTTTGACTTTTTGAAATGGAATTTGAGATTATATTACTCTACACAACTATTCAGGTCCGGCCAGACCGGACCACTCTCCCCGTCCAACCTCCTCCATTTGGGGGCCTTCCCGGTGGTATTTTTTGCTCAAATGTTTTGTGTAGGTTTCTCATCAAGTCTAGTTCATCCATACCAAATTTCAGCCAAAAATTCAATCGGGAAGATCGTCAAATGATTTTTGCAAGTTAACTGGTCCGGAATATGTATTTTTGGTATAGATGAACTAGACTTGATGAGAAACCTACACAAAAAATTTGAGCAAAAAATACCACCGCAAAGGCCCCAAATGGAGGAGGCCGGACGGGGCTCCGGTCAGGTATAAGAGTACTCTATTACTCTAATGTAATAGAGCAAATGATACTACCTGTCCCCGGACTTTTACGGTTGGGGTCAACAAGAAGAGAAAAGAAGCGATGTTGGGGAAAGTAGACTTTTACCGTTGGGGTCAACAGAAAAATACTCCGTATGGTTTTGAAGTTGTTCATACTTCATAATAGTTTGATATGCGCACGGGTGGAACCAGAACACGGGGCCGAATTGGACCGGTACAAAGAATATTTTGGGGAAAAAATTTATACAGAGCCTTTTAGACTAAAATTACATTTATTTTTTAAATTTGAGGTGGGGCGGGGCCTAGGCTGGCCAACCCCCAACTACGCTCCTGGTCATATGCAGCCATGGAGGAGATATTGATAAAATGTGAAAAGGTAAGAATGATTCAAACTCAAATAAATATTATCCATTATTATGAATTTATTATACAAGATGAAAGGGAAAAACTGCACAATTATACTACCTCCGTCCCAAAAAACTTTGCCATTTTCAAAACTTTGACCGACTATATCTTTTAATTGAATATTACTTATAATATAAAAATTATATGAAAATGTTCTTTGTTAAAAGTACTTTCATAAACATATAAAATTTCTAACTTTCATAATATCATACTAATCAAAATTAAGGTTCAAATTTTTTGAAATGACAAAGTTTTTTGGGACGGAGGAAGTAATAGGATGGAGGGATCAAGTAAGAATTTATTTACCAAATGAGAAACCAACACTTTATTTAGACACATTCCAATTAATAAGGGGAAAGTTCCCGAAATAGGAGTAAAAAAGTTTGAAAATTCCAAATAGGACAGCCATGTTTTTATTCCCAAAATATGAGTAATTACTGCCAAGTTTGAAAAATACTATCATGTTTGAAGTCTGGTACTGCCAAAACATGTCAGTAATTAGTCCTATTTTGGGAATAAAAACATGGCAGTCCTATGTTAGAATTTTAAACTTTTTTACTCCTATTTCGGATAATATTCTCATTAATAAGGAATACAAAAAGTTTACAGCTCATGGGTGTTGGGCTGAACCTCTCGTGCTCACAGGTACAAAGTCTATCACCATTAAGCCGGCTGAGTCACCGTGACGTCATTACAACCTCTCAAAAGTCTTGTCGGGTCATGACGTGAGGGGAGGTGGGGATTCAACCTTTTAGGAAGAAGGAATAGAGAAAGTTATTTGAAGGACAGGCGGAGTACGTAATTAATTAAATATTTATACTAGTTCATGTAAGTGAATTAGTTTGTCCATTTTTAAAATATCTGACTTGGGATTCATATTTTTTTGTTATGTGAAAAACTCGGAGCTCATTTAATTGGTAATTTAACATCTCTTTTCTGTTTATCAACGTTATCAATCATTTTTTAAGAAACACATAATAGAAATAAGAGCTTGTTTGGTATCCCCTATTTTCAGCCTTATTAACCATGTTTTTTTTTTATCAAATATGTAGTTCTCAACTTTAGTTTGCTCGCTTAATTGAGTAATAATCAAAATAATTAAGGTTGGAGTTGCTTTTTTATTGAATCAACTAAAGTTAATATAGAACACCATTTTAGCTTATTTCACGTAATGTTTTCTTGATTTATTTAATGAAATATATTTTAAAAGTAATTTTTCCAAAGCACATCAGATTCGATCAATGTAATTCAACCAGAATTTCATAAATATCAGCAGATTCAACCAATTTTATTCAGTGTTACCAAATGGGCCTTAAGGTAAAGTTTCCTTTCTGACTGAAATTGTTGAATTCGACTATTTTAGCCGTTATCATATGAAAATTTCCGTATTTTATTGATATAGTATAGTACGGATTATATATATATATATATATATATATATTATCATAGTTCAGCAGATCTTTTCATTCAACTCCCCCAACACATTCAAGGAGGGTTTGCATCTGCTTCTTCTTAAAAAAACACTTTTGGAGTGATTTGGAAAAAGTGATTAGTAGTAAAAGTTGATAGTGTTTGAGGAAAAAGTGATTTTGAAAAGTAAAAGTTGGTAGTGTTTGGTAAAATAAGTGTTTTTTGTGTAATAGAAAAGGGAAAAGCACTTTTCACCTGAAAGTCGAGAAAAGTAAAAAATTGGCAGTGTTTTGGTAAATAAGTGTTTTATTAAGCCAAAAGCCAAGAATAAAGACCGAAGAGACTCTGAATTGCAATTTGTAACTCTTTCATAACATGACAAATTATGAAAGAGGGGCGTTGTAATGAAGAGTGAGACTCCTCAGTAGTAGCTGGGGGCATCAACTTGCCCTTAGAACACATGGTGGAGGAACATGCAAATCACATATTGTACGAATTGAAGACAATATACGTATTTGGATTAATTGACTTCAGAGCTAACCCTCAAAACTAAGGAGGCAATCACTTGCTTCTCGAATTCCCTTTGTCGAGATGGGTCATGGGTATCAGCTGGCCGCGTATATAGCTTCTTACTCTCTGTGCGTCCCAAATATTTAGGTAACACTCTCTCCACTTAATCATTTTTCTATCTGCTTTCTGTTTTTTGGTACTTCCCATATTCTTTTATTTGCTAAACTTTTTTAAAAAATAAATAAATTTCTGCAACATTTTCTCATTTTTTTTATTCCTTACATGGAGTATTAAGGATTTTTCTTTTAAATTGCTTTTCGTCCCAGATCAGACCAGACCAGACCATAATAGACCAGACCAGATCAGACCTTCATAGTTATAAAATACACAGAAATTAGACATTTATCAAATCAAACCAATCAGACCAGACCAGATCAAACCAGACCAGACTAGACCAGCAAATTTGAGTCCAAAAGAAAACATCCTAAAAAAATACTCCTTCTGTTCTCCAATACTTGTCCCTATAGGGTTTGACACAAATATTAAGAGAAAAATAATAGGGGTAATGTAAAAAGTGCAGTGAGTTGTGTTTAAATAAAAAGTATGAAAAAGAATTAAATAGTATGAAAGAGAACGGATGTATATTGAAAAAACTTTCTAAAAATGAAAAGAAATACAACTATTAAGAACAATTCAAAATGGAAATGAGGACAAGTATGAGAGAACAGAATGAGTAATCTACTCCATAGTTCTTACTTTTTGTACTTTTCATTTCTCGTACCTTTTCTATTACTTCTATAGTTCTATTGCTTTATGATTAAAATTAGTGAAAAAATCTGTCGTAACAAATACTTTCTCCGGTTCACATTAATCTTTATACTTTCCTTGTTAAGAAGTACCATATTAAACTTTACACTTCCTTATTTGCCTTACAAATCTACACCAAACAATGCAAAACAGTGTCAAACAGTGTATTCTATATTAAAATCAAATTTATTTCCTTAATATATGTGAAGTTAAGTGTAAAGATTAATGTGAACCGGATGGAGTAAAAGAATACAAGGGGTATGAATTAGATTTTAACATAATCCCCCTAAATACTAGTACCCCCAAAATTAAACACGGAGTATTGACTTCATTATTTTCCTCTAAAGTAGGTCAGTTGGATCCCGTTCATTATTTTCTCCTAAAGTAGGTCAGTAGGATCCCCGCACCTAGAAATAAAATTATTATGCTCGAATTAATTGTTCTTTTTTATAACACGTGTTAATATATTATGCTTGATTCTCACTTTTGAATAAAAAATCCTCAATCAGAGATGATCAAATTACAAAGATGATCAAATTACAAACATTCATACGGAGTACAAGAGTATACTTGAAACATTCATATATATCCGACTATCCGAGTGATTATATTCATCTCACACTAGTTTAGTGTATAATACTACCTTCATCCCTCAATTAAAGTCTCAGTTAGACTTTTGAGTCAACCTTGTTAAACTTTGACCGTCAATTACTAAACATTTAACAATATGTATCCATAAAAAATTATTTTTTGTGCTTCATTGTAAATTTGTGATATGAATTATTCAAATGTCAATTTATTATAGATTATAAATGTATTCATTTATAGATAATTATGATCAAACGTCCGTCTAGAAGATCATAAAGTCAAACTGAAATTTTAATTGTGAGAACGAGAGAGTAGTAAACTAATACTACCACTCCCATAACTTACTTTATAGTTTTGACTTTAAAGTCAAACTTTATTAACTTTGATAGCTGATTATTTAAAAATTACATTAATGCATAACAAGGAACAAAACACTTTTAAATAATTAGTGTAATACTAGCTATGTAATTAGGTATGTACTAATGAAATATATATCTGTTATTATAAATTTTACAAACATGCATATTTAAATAACCATCGTCAAACATAAATAAACTTTGACCACAAAAGTCAAACTTAACGGTAGAGTTAACTCTGGAACATGGGGAGTATATATAAGACATTGAACTACTTTTTATAATAGTTTAACCTTTTTAATGTAACCTCAATTTTTAATATGGTAGTAGAGTCGAGTTCAAATGTGTTTTACGGAGTAATTTTTTGTTTAGCAATAGCACGTGATTTATAGTAGCCCATTAAGAGCCTGTGGTAAAGGGGTTGTTGAAGTACATTAAATTTGTATCACACCCATTTTGTATAAAATAATACGTAGTAATAAACTAGTACAGAGTATATAAGAATTTGGGCTAGAAACATGTGTAATTAACATGTGTATTTCTTTTAGTAAACAAGTGTTTTGTGGTCTAGACATGAGTTGGGTGAATCTTTTTAGATTTAAGATGTGATGTGATCTGTACGAGAAATGGGATCTAATTTCACATGGTATTCCACATCATGTTACTACCTCTCCTTAAGAGGATGTTCTAGAGAAAAAGTAATTACTCGAAGAACATGCAATCTTAGGCAAGGACACACTAAATAAAATATGGAGGTAAAATATGGAGGGCCCGTTTGCTAACACTCAAATCCGCTGTATCGGTTGATTCTGCTGAAATTTATGAAGTTTTAACTGAAGTGGCTGCAATGGTTGATTCTTCTAATTTGTGAAAAAAAATTAAAATATAATTTATTAATAAAATAAAGAAAAAATTATATGAAAAATAGTTAAAATGGTCCTCTGATGAAAAAATATAAAGACCGGCGGCCTTTACTCACGGTGTAAAGGAGACCAATTCTCTATCTAACGGTGATAGAAAAACCAAACAACGTTGTTAAGCAAATAAGTCCATACGTTTTATTAAGCAAAAGGGGTATTAATACCCCCAAACAATCCTACCTGCAAACTAACCCTTGCACAACAAGGATAGATAATATCAGGACTAACTCTAATATAACTCATCTATGAATTAACTAAAAATAGTAATGTTGTAAATTAAATAACTAATTAAATAAGCTTAAGCTAATAATTATCGCAATTGATCAGGAAGCTTCAATAAGTAAAATAGTTCCGAAGTCTTGTACTGCTTCTTCGGGCCCGCTTACTATGACGGGTCATTGGCCCTGCATCCTCATCATTGCCCTCCTCTCGAAGTCGAACCTTGTCCTCAAGGTTAAAGTCAGGAAATTGTTGTCTGATGACCTCTACTCGTTCCCATGTGGCATCTTCAGAACGAAGAGACGCCCACGTGATCAAGGCTTCACGAATTACTCATGATCGGGTTCTTATGTTACGAAAGCGAATGACTTTCTCTAGTTCAAAAACAGGTTGGCCATCACATGAGTATGGAGGTAGTGTTGTTGTTGATGGAATATCATCCCCAATGTGTTTTTTAAGGAGCGAAACATGAAAGACTGGATGTATTCGTAATTCGGGTGGCAGATCAAATCTATAAGCAACATCAAAGAACTTCTCAAATATTTTGAAAGGACCAAGAAATTTACATGCCAATTTCTGACTAACCCGCTTAAAAACAGAATGTTGCCGAAAAGGTTCCAATTTCAAATACACATGGTCACCTATCTGATAGTGAACTTCCCGTCTTCTTGTGTCAACTAGTTGCTTCATGTGATTATCTGCTACAACAATATTATGACGTAAACTTTGTAGAACTTCACGGGTGCACATTTGCTCAACAACTTCGGCCAAGGGCGACATTCCATTTTTATAGGACCGGAGGATAAGTGGGGGATGCCCATAAAGAGCCTCAAAAGGCGTCATATTAATTGAGCGATGATAACTTGTGTTAAACCATAGCTCGGCCCATGTTAAAAATAGATTCCATCGGTTGGGGTAATTGTGAACAAAACACCTTAAATACGAGTAAAGAGTCAGTTTGGTCCTCGAAGTTGCAAAAAAGGCGTCAAATAAGTCCTTATATAGAAGATTCTGTCCGGACGTGCCATTTGAGGTGGCTCCCGGTGGAATTTTGTGGTAAATGTTTTTGATCATCTTATTAATTAAGTCTAGTTTACTCATACCAAATTTCAGCTAAAAGTTCAATCAGGAAGACATTCAAATGAATTCGTGAAGATAACAGCGCTTTTAACAGCACAGTTATCTTCAAGAATTCATTTGAATGTCTTCCCGATTGAATTTTTATCTGAAATTTGGTATGAGTAAACTAGACTTAATGAATAAGATGTTCAAAAAATTTCATCAAAAAATTCCACCGGGAGCCACCTCAAATGGCACGTCCGGACAGAATCTTCTATATAAGGACTTATTTGACCCCTTTTTTGCAACTTCGAGGACCAAACTGACCCTTATCCCCCTTAAATACTGTCCCAAACACCTGTTCACCACTTCGGCCTGTCCATCAGTCTCCGGATGGTAAGCAGAGCTAGTTTTCAAAGTAGTGCCCTGCAAACGAAATAATTCTTTCCAAAATAAATTCATGAATATACGATCCCGGTCACTAATAATAGTCTCAGGAAACCCATGTAATCTGACCACTTCACGAATAAACACTCCAGCAACTTCTTTAGCATTAAACGGGTGTGACAGGGACATAAAATGAACGTATTTTGTAAATCAGTCCACCACTACAAGCACTGCATCTTTTCCTTAGGACTTCGGAAGGCCCTTGATGAAGTCCATGCTTATATCAGCCCACACTACAATTGGCACAGGCAAAGGAGTTAATAAACCAGCTGGGGATAAAGAATCTGTTTTGGTTCTTTGGCATATTTCACATTCTCGTACAGATTTATTGATAGTAGACCGCATACCAGCCCAAGAAAACACTTGATTTAGTCCTCGAAAGGTGTGCAACATTCCCGAATGACCTCCTTCTGATGTGCCATGGAATTCTTTAATGAGTTGCATCCGTAAACCACCATTTTCTGGGACCAACACACGTCATTTGTGTACAATACAACTCATTACGAATGGTGTAATCTGAGTGACTTGCGGGTTGGATTTGAAGCTCTCGGGAGATCTTCTGTAAATAAGGATCAATTTTTGTTTGTTCGCGTAGTTCGTCCCATAGAGCCCATAATTGTCCTGAGATGGCAACAGCCTCTGGTGGTTCTTCTGTCATCAGGTTATCCCGGCGGGACAAGGCATCAACAGCTTTATTGGTGGTCCCCGACTTATATATGATGGAGTAATCAAAACCTAACAGTTTGACTATCCATTTGTGTTGGTCCGGTGTAGTAATTCGTTATTCCAGTAGGTGGCGTAAACTATTTTGGTCTGCACAAATGGTAAAATGGCGATCTAAGAGATAGGTGTGCCATGTTCGAATTGCCTCTAGGATCACAAACATCTCCCTTGCGTAAGTCGACCAGACTTGCTTTGCCAGTCCCAACGCTTTACTCATAAACGCGATTGGATGACCCTTTTGTGATAACACTGCCCCAACTCTCGTTCCAGAAGCATCGGTTTCAATAACAAACTCGGAAGTGAAATCGGGCAATGCAAGCACCGGAGTTGAGGTCATAGCCTTTTTCAAAGCCTTAAATGCTTGGGCTGATTCTAAATCCCAAGTAAACTTCCCCTTTTATAATAATCGAGTCAACGGTTGGGCGATCAGACCATAACCTTGGACAAACTTCTGATAGTAACCCGTAAGACCCAGCTCGTAGAGTAGTGACATTTGTGGGTATTAGCCAGCGTACCATTGCCTCTATCTTTCACGGATCTACATGAACCCCTTCCCTAGAGATGTAGTGACCGAGGTATTCTACCTTAATTTGGAGGAAAAGGCATTTTTCTGGCTTGATGTAGAACAGGTGATGTGCTAGGATCCTGAGTGTGCAATGTAAATGGTTCAGATGCTCGTTTATCGTCCGACTGTAGATGAGTATGTCATCGAAGAAGACGGGTATAAAAACCCTTAGAAGTGGCCAAAACATTTTAATGGCTGCCTGGAATGTGGATGGTGTATTGCAAAGCCCGAAGGGCATGACAAGATACTCATAGTACGTGCCCGCTATGTGTCTGAAAAGCTATCTTGCACACGTCATCCAGATGAACCCGTATCTGATGGTAGCCAGCATGCACGTAAATCCAGCTTGAAAAAATAGTGAGCCCTATAAAATTCATCAAGCATGTCATCTATGGTTGGAATTGGGAATTGGTCTTTGACAGTCGCATTATTAAGAGCTCAATAGTCCGTGCAAAATCTCCAAGAGCCATCTTTTTTCTTTACCAATAGCACTGGTCAGTATGTGTGGTGGAGATATGTAGTACTCCCTCCCTCCCTGTTTTTTCTCCCCTTTTGACCCGGCACGGGGATTAAAATAGTAAGTTTTGTGTGGTGGAGAGTTGTGCAGAGGAGAGAAATGTGTAAGAATGATTATGAATCACAAATTCTTTGCCAAAAAGAAAAATGAGAGATAATTTAGGGACGGAGGAAAAAGAAAAGTTTGAAGATAATTAAAGGATGGAGGAAGTAATTCTTATAATTTCTCTACTCTCCACATAAATTACAATCACACTTTTTTAATTTTGTATTCCAAAGACAAACATAACAAATTAACTTGAAAAGTAAGGTTGGACTCATGGAGTATTATGTATTAAAGAAGAAAAATTACTTTTGTACATGCCCCGTTTATCAAAGCCCCTATAACGAGGCAATTCGTTAAAGAAGATTGAAAAATTGGAAAATTTTGGAAATTTTATGCGGTAAAAAAAAGCGTGTACACAAAGAATAGCCAAAGAATACAGGTGTATATATAAGGGGATGTGTATATAATCTATAATGTGCTATCATAAATAGACTAGCAAATACCATTAAGTGTGTATAAAATTACAAAGAATGTAGGTGAAGAATTAATTAATTAAAAGAATGAAATAAAATAAGTGCAAATGCCCAGAGCAGGGTAGTGATGAATTGAAGATATATATACTCCACACTATATATGTGTGAATTTGTGAATATATATACAGTATATGAACATACAGCAAAGGGTGGCGGATTTCTGAAACCCAAGAGCCCCACTGGCGTTGTCTGACACCTCTGAACTTGTTGGGCTGTACCATTCTTTTTCCTGCTTTCTTCCTTCAATTCAGCTCAGAGATTATGTTTTCTGAACAGTGATCTACAGATAGATAGAGAGAGAGATGTATGTATGTTGTTAGATGAGAAGAATCAGATGTTATTGATGATGGCGCCGTATATATATACATATACATATAGTAGCTGGCTATAGGTTTGTCGGTGGAGGAGGAGATGAAATGATAAGAGAAGAAGTGAGAAGAAGTGAGAAGAAGAGACTGGGATGATGGGTATAAAAAAATTAAATTAAAGAGAAAAGTCAGACAACAGAAAGTAATTTTGAAGTGTGGATTCTTATGTATGTAGGGTGGGTGTCATCAAAGTTTCACCTGCTTTGTCCATGCTTTCAATCCTATGATCTATATGTGACCAAGTCTACTCTAAAACTTGTTTCGAAACTAGTCTAGTTAATGAATATCTACCTTGTACGTACCATACTCTACAAATTTGTGTACAATGTGATTAAAATATGGGAAAGTTCCCGAAATAGGACTAAAATAGTTGGAAAATTCCAAAATAGGACTGTCATGTTTTTATTCCCAAAATAGGACTAATTACTGCCAAATTTGAAAAATACTGCCATGTTTGAAGTCTGGTACTGCCAAAACATGACAGTAATTAGTCCTATTTTGGAAATAAAAACATGAAAGTCCTACTTTGGAATTTGCAAACTTTTTTAGTCCTATTTCGGGTAATATCTCTTAAAATATTAATCCCTCCTCCATTCACATTCTTCTTTACACTTTCCTTTTTTGTTGGTATCACATTCTTCTTTACACTTCCTTATTTGCCTTACAAACAGTGCCAAACAGTGTCCAAACAGTGCCAAACAGTAAAGTCAAATTTATTTCTTTAATATTTGTGAAGTCAAACTGTAAAGAAGAATGTGAACCGGAGGGAGTATTAATCAGCATTATAATGATATCATACCAGTCACTTAGAGCTATCTCAAATGGAAAAATGGATAGCAGTAAAGTTGTTCCTATGTAATGTAACATAGGTCGGGGATACACGTAAAAAGCCTGTTTGGTAACACTGAAATCAGCTGAATCGGCTGATTATACTGAAATTTATGAAGTTCTGATTGAAGTGGATGGATTGGCCGATTATGCTGATTTTTGAAAAAAATTATATTTAAAATATTTATTATTAATAACATAAATAAAAAATTATATGAAAGATTACCTAAAATGTTCCTCTGCGGTAATTTCAGCCAATATAGCCAGAAAAGTAACTTCAACAACACTTTTTCTTATTATTTCACAATTCAGCGCACGAAACCAAAAGTGACGTGTTTGGTGAAAACGTTATCTGATAAGCCCGATGAGTTGAAAAAATGGACTACCAAACAGGCTCAAAATGATTATTTTAATCTAATAGTATACATAGTATGTAGACAAAATGGTGTGTAGGGAAAATGAAAAAATGGGGAGAGAGAAATAAATTGTAAACCATGTCTATGACAACATTCACAAATGGACATTGCACCGGATTCAAGGATTGGAGCAAATTAAAAGTAGATGAAATGGATTAAATGTGATAAAAATGAAAATTAAAATAAATATGAATATATGTAGCTGAGTCCTACGCATAAAAAGACTCAGCTACATGTAAGAGTGTGTAAGGAACTATTAGCCTATTAGGGTGTTCTTAGTAACTTGTTTGAAAAACAGAGACTTTATAAAAGAGAATTTTTACCTTTGACTTTTTGAAATGGAATTTGAGATTATATTACTCTACACAACTATTCAGGTCCGGCCAGACCGGACCACTCTCCCCGTCCAACCTCCTCCATTTGGGGGCCTTCCCGGTGGTATTTTTTGCTCAAATGTTTTGTGTAGGTTTCTCATCAAGTCTAGTTCATCCATACCAAATTTCAGCCAAAAATTCAATCGGGAAGATCGTCAAATGATTTTTGCAAGTTAACTGGTCCGGAATATGTATTTTTGGTATAGATGAACTAGACTTGATGAGAAACCTACACAAAAAATTTGAGCAAAAAATACCACCGCAAAGGCCCCAAATGGAGGAGGCCGGACGGGGCTCCGGTCAGGTATAAGAGTACTCTATTACTCTAATGTAATAGAGCAAATGATACTACCTGTCCCCGGACTTTTACGGTTGGGGTCAACAAGAAGAGAAAAGAAGCGATGTTGGGGAAAGTAGACTTTTACCGTTGGGGTCAACAGAAAAATACTCCGTATGGTTTTGAAGTTGTTCATACTTCATAATAGTTTGATATGCGCACGGGTGGAACCAGAACACGGGGCCGAATTGGACCGGTACAAAGAATATTTTGGGGAAAAAATTTATACAGAGCCTTTTAGACTAAAATTACATTTATTTTTTAAATTTGAGGTGGGGCGGGGCCTAGGCTGGCCAACCCCCAACTACGCTCCTGGTCATATGCAGCCATGGAGGAGATATTGATAAAATGTGAAAAGGTAAGAATGATTCAAACTCAAATAAATATTATCCATTATTATGAATTTATTATACAAGATGAAAGGGAAAAACTGCACAATTATACTACCTCCGTCCCAAAAAACTTTGCCATTTTCAAAACTTTGACCGACTATATCTTTTAATTGAATATTACTTATAATATAAAAATTATATGAAAATGTTCTTTGTTAAAAGTACTTTCATAAACATATAAAATTTCTAACTTTCATAATATCATACTAATCAAAATTAAGGTTCAAATTTTTTGAAATGACAAAGTTTTTTGGGACGGAGGAAGTAATAGGATGGAGGGATCAAGTAAGAATTTATTTACCAAATGAGAAACCAACACTTTATTTAGACACATTCCAATTAATAAGGGGAAAGTTCCCGAAATAGGAGTAAAAAAGTTTGAAAATTCCAAATAGGACAGCCATGTTTTTATTCCCAAAATATGAGTAATTACTGCCAAGTTTGAAAAATACTATCATGTTTGAAGTCTGGTACTGCCAAAACATGTCAGTAATTAGTCCTATTTTGGGAATAAAAACATGGCAGTCCTATGTTAGAATTTTAAACTTTTTTACTCCTATTTCGGATAATATTCTCATTAATAAGGAATACAAAAAGTTTACAGCTCATGGGTGTTGGGCTGAACCTCTCGTGCTCACAGGTACAAAGTCTATCACCATTAAGCCGGCTGAGTCACCGTGACGTCATTACAACCTCTCAAAAGTCTTGTCGGGTCATGACGTGAGGGGAGGTGGGGATTCAACCTTTTAGGAAGAAGGAATAGAGAAAGTTATTTGAAGGACAGGCGGAGTACGTAATTAATTAAATATTTATACTAGTTCATGTAAGTGAATTAGTTTGTCCATTTTTAAAATATCTGACTTGGGATTCATATTTTTTTGTTATGTGAAAAACTCGGAGCTCATTTAATTGGTAATTTAACATCTCTTTTCTGTTTATCAACGTTATCAATCATTTTTTAAGAAACACATAATAGAAATAAGAGCTTGTTTGGTATCCCCTATTTTCAGCCTTATTAACCATGTTTTTTTTTATCAAATATGTAGTTCTCAACTTTAGTTTGCTCGCTTAATTGAGTAATAATCAAAATAATTAAGGTTGGAGTTGCTTTTTTATTGAATCAACTAAAGTTAATATAGAACACCATTTTAGCTTATTTCACGTAATGTTTTCTTGATTTATTTAATGAAATATATTTTAAAAGTAATTTTTCCAAAGCACATCAGATTCGATCAATGTAATTCAACCAGAATTTCATAAATATCAGCAGATTCAACCAATTTTATTCAGTGTTACCAAATGGGCCTTAAGGTAAAGTTTCCTTTCTGACTGAAATTGTTGAATTCGACTATTTTAGCCGTTATCATATGAAAATTTCCGTATTTTATTGATATAGTATAGTACGGATTATATATATATATATATATATATATATTATCATAGTTCAGCAGATCTTTTCATTCAACTCCCCCAACACATTCAAGGAGGGTTTGCATCTGCTTCTTCTTAAAAAAACACTTTTGGAGTGATTTGGAAAAAGTGATTAGTAGTAAAAGTTGATAGTGTTTGAGGAAAAAGTGATTTTGAAAAGTAAAAGTTGGTAGTGTTTGGTAAAATAAGTGTTTTTTGTGTAATAGAAAAGGGAAAAGCACTTTTCACCTGAAAGTCGAGAAAAGTAAAAAATTGGCAGTGTTTTGGTAAATAAGTGTTTTATTAAGCCAAAAGCCAAGAATAAAGACCGAAGAGACTCTGAATTGCAATTTGTAACTCTTTCATAACATGACAAATTATGAAAGAGGGGCGTTGTAATGAAGAGTGAGACTCCTCAGTAGTAGCTGGGGGCATCAACTTGCCCTTAGAACACATGGTGGAGGAACATGCAAATCACATATTGTACGAATTGAAGACAATATACGTATTTGGATTAATTGACTTCAGAGCTAACCCTCAAAACTAAGGAGGCAATCACTTGCTTCTCGAATTCCCTTTGTCGAGATGGGTCATGGGTATCAGCTGGCCGCGTATATAGCTTCTTACTCTCTGTGCGTCCCAAATATTTAGGTAACACTCTCTCCACTTAATCATTTTTCTATCTGCTTTCTGTTTTTTGGTACTTCCCATATTCTTTTATTTGCTAAACTTTTTTAAAAAATAAATAAATTTCTGCAACATTTTCTCATTTTTTTTATTCCTTACATGGAGTATTAAGGATTTTTCTTTTAAATTGCTTTTCGTCCCAGATCAGACCAGACCAGACCATAATAGACCAGACCAGATCAGACCTTCATAGTTATAAAATACACAGAAATTAGACATTTATCAAATCAAACCAATCAGACCAGACCAGATCAAACCAGACCAGACTAGACCAGCAAATTTGAGTCCAAAAGAAAACATCCTAAAAAAATACTCCTTCTGTTCTCCAATACTTGTCCCTATAGGGTTTGACACAAATATTAAGAGAAAAATAATAGGGGTAATGTAAAAAGTGCAGTGAGTTGTGTTTAAATAAAAAGTATGAAAAAGAATTAAATAGTATGAAAGAGAACGGATGTATATTGAAAAAACTTTCTAAAAATGAAAAGAAATACAACTATTAAGAACAATTCAAAATGGAAATGAGGACAAGTATGAGAGAACAGAATGAGTAATCTACTCCATAGTTCTTACTTTTTGTACTTTTCATTTCTCGTACCTTTTCTATTACTTCTATAGTTCTATTGCTTTATGATTAAAATTAGTGAAAAAATCTGTCGTAACAAATACTTTCTCCGGTTCACATTAATCTTTATACTTTCCTTGTTAAGAAGTACCATATTAAACTTTACACTTCCTTATTTGCCTTACAAATCTACACCAAACAATGCAAAACAGTGTCAAACAGTGTATTCTATATTAAAATCAAATTTATTTCCTTAATATATGTGAAGTTAAGTGTAAAGATTAATGTGAACCGGATGGAGTAAAAGAATACAAGGGGTATGAATTAGATTTTAACATAATCCCCCTAAATACTAGTACCCCCAAAATTAAACACGGAGTATTGACTTCATTATTTTCCTCTAAAGTAGGTCAGTTGGATCCCGTTCATTATTTTCTCCTAAAGTAGGTCAGTAGGATCCCCGCACCTAGAAATAAAATTATTATGCTCGAATTAATTGTTCTTTTTTATAACACGTGTTAATATATTATGCTTGATTCTCACTTTTGAATAAAAAATCCTCAATCAGAGATGATCAAATTACAAAGATGATCAAATTACAAACATTCATACGGAGTACAAGAGTATACTTGAAACATTCATATATATCCGACTATCCGAGTGATTATATTCATCTCACACTAGTTTAGTGTATAATACTACCTTCATCCCTCAATTAAAGTCTCAGTTAGACTTTTGAGTCAACCTTGTTAAACTTTGACCGTCAATTACTAAACATTTAACAATATGTATCCATAAAAAATTATTTTTTGTGCTTCATTGTAAATTTGTGATATGAATTATTCAAATGTCAATTTATTATAGATTATAAATGTATTCATTTATAGATAATTATGATCAAACGTCCGTCTAGAAGATCATAAAGTCAAACTGAAATTTTAATTGTGAGAACGAGAGAGTAGTAAACTAATACTACCACTCCCATAACTTACTTTATAGTTTTGACTTTAAAGTCAAACTTTATTAACTTTGATAGCTGATTATTTAAAAATTACATTAATGCATAACAAGGAACAAAACACTTTTAAATAATTAGTGTAATACTAGCTATGTAATTAGGTATGTACTAATGAAATATATATCTGTTATTATAAATTTTACAAACATGCATATTTAAATAACCATCGTCAAACATAAATAAACTTTGACCACAAAAGTCAAACTTAACGGTAGAGTTAACTCTGGAACATGGGGAGTATATATAAGACATTGAACTACTTTTTATAATAGTTTAACCTTTTTAATGTAACCTCAATTTTTAATATGGTAGTAGAGTCGAGTTCAAATGTGTTTTACGGAGTAATTTTTTGTTTAGCAATAGCACGTGATTTATAGTAGCCCATTAAGAGCCTGTGGTAAAGGGGTTGTTGAAGTACATTAAATTTGTATCACACCCATTTTGTATAAAATAATACGTAGTAATAAACTAGTACAGAGTATATAAGAATTTGGGCTAGAAACATGTGTAATTAACATGTGTATTTCTTTTAGTAAACAAGTGTTTTGTGGTCTAGACATGAGTTGGGTGAATCTTTTTAGATTTAAGATGTGATGTGATCTGTACGAGAAATGGGATCTAATTTCACATGGTATTCCACATCATGTTACTACCTCTCCTTAAGAGGATGTTCTAGAGAAAAAGTAATTACTCGAAGAACATGCAATCTTAGGCAAGGACACACTAAATAAAATATGGAGGTAAAATATGGAGGGCCCGTTTGCTAACACTCAAATCCGCTGTATCGGTTGATTCTGCTGAAATTTATGAAGTTTTAACTGAAGTGGCTGCAATGGTTGATTCTTCTAATTTGTGAAAAAAAATTAAAATATAATTTATTAATAAAATAAAGAAAAAATTATATGAAAAATAGTTAAAATGGTCCTCTGATGAAAAAATATAAAGACCGGCGGCCTTTACTCACGGTGTAAAGGAGACCAATTCTCTATCTAACGGTGATAGAAAAACCAAACAACGTTGTTAAGCAAATAAGTCCATACGTTTTATTAAGCAAAAGGGGTATTAATACCCCCAAACAATCCTACCTGCAAACTAACCCTTGCACAACAAGGATAGATAATATCAGGACTAACTCTAATATAACTCATCTATGAATTAACTAAAAATAGTAATGTTGTAAATTAAATAACTAATTAAATAAGCTTAAGCTAATAATTATCGCAATTGATCAGGAAGCTTCAATAAGTAAAATAGTTCCGAAGTCTTGTACTGCTTCTTCGGGCCCGCTTACTATGACGGGTCATTGGCCCTGCATCCTCATCATTGCCCTCCTCTCGAAGTCGAACCTTGTCCTCAAGGTTAAAGTCAGGAAATTGTTGTCTGATGACCTCTACTCGTTCCCATGTGGCATCTTCAGAACGAAGAGACGCCCACGTGATCAAGGCTTCACGAATTACTCATGATCGGGTTCTTATGTTACGAAAGCGAATGACTTTCTCTAGTTCAAAAACAGGTTGGCCATCACATGAGTATGGAGGTAGTGTTGTTGTTGATGGAATATCATCCCCAATGTGTTTTTTAAGGAGCGAAACATGAAAGACTGGATGTATTCGTAATTCGGGTGGCAGATCAAATCTATAAGCAACATCAAAGAACTTCTCAAATATTTTGAAAGGACCAAGAAATTTACATGCCAATTTCTGACTAACCCGCTTAAAAACAGAATGTTGCCGAAAAGGTTCCAATTTCAAATACACATGGTCACCTATCTGATAGTGAACTTCCCGTCTTCTTGTGTCAACTAGTTGCTTCATGTGATTATCTGCTACAACAATATTATGACGTAAACTTTGTAGAACTTCACGGGTGCACATTTGCTCAACAACTTCGGCCAAGGGCGACATTCCATTTTTATAGGACCGGAGGATAAGTGGGGGATGCCCATAAAGAGCCTCAAAAGGCGTCATATTAATTGAGCGATGATAACTTGTGTTAAACCATAGCTCGGCCCATGTTAAAAATAGATTCCATCGGTTGGGGTAATTGTGAACAAAACACCTTAAATACGAGTAAAGAGTCAGTTTGGTCCTCGAAGTTGCAAAAAAGGCGTCAAATAAGTCCTTATATAGAAGATTCTGTCCGGACGTGCCATTTGAGGTGGCTCCCGGTGGAATTTTGTGGTAAATGTTTTTGATCATCTTATTAATTAAGTCTAGTTTACTCATACCAAATTTCAGCTAAAAGTTCAATCAGGAAGACATTCAAATGAATTCGTGAAGATAACAGCGCTTTTAACAGCACAGTTATCTTCAAGAATTCATTTGAATGTCTTCCCGATTGAATTTTTATCTGAAATTTGGTATGAGTAAACTAGACTTAATGAATAAGATGTTCAAAAAATTTCATCAAAAAATTCCACCGGGAGCCACCTCAAATGGCACGTCCGGACAGAATCTTCTATATAAGGACTTATTTGACCCCTTTTTTGCAACTTCGAGGACCAAACTGACCCTTATCCCCCTTAAATACTGTCCCAAACACCTGTTCACCACTTCGGCCTGTCCATCAGTCTCCGGATGGTAAGCAGAGCTAGTTTTCAAAGTAGTGCCCTGCAAACGAAATAATTCTTTCCAAAATAAATTCATGAATATACGATCCCGGTCACTAATAATAGTCTCAGGAAACCCATGTAATCTGACCACTTCACGAATAAACACTCCAGCAACTTCTTTAGCATTAAACGGGTGTGACAGGGACATAAAATGAACGTATTTTGTAAATCAGTCCACCACTACAAGCACTGCATCTTTTCCTTAGGACTTCGGAAGGCCCTTGATGAAGTCCATGCTTATATCAGCCCACACTACAATTGGCACAGGCAAAGGAGTTAATAAACCAGCTGGGGATAAAGAATCTGTTTTGGTTCTTTGGCATATTTCACATTCTCGTACAGATTTATTGATAGTAGACCGCATACCAGCCCAAGAAAACACTTGATTTAGTCCTCGAAAGGTGTGCAACATTCCCGAATGACCTCCTTCTGATGTGCCATGGAATTCTTTAATGAGTTGCATCCGTAAACCACCATTTTCTGGGACCAACACACGTCATTTGTGTACAATACAACTCATTACGAATGGTGTAATCTGAGTGACTTGCGGGTTGGATTTGAAGCTCTCGGGAGATCTTCTGTAAATAAGGATCAATTTTTGTTTGTTCGCGTAGTTCGTCCCATAGAGCCCATAATTGTCCTGAGATGGCAACAGCCTCTGGTGGTTCTTCTGTCATCAGGTTATCCCGGCGGGACAAGGCATCAACAGCTTTATTGGTGGTCCCCGACTTATATATGATGGAGTAATCAAAACCTAACAGTTTGACTATCCATTTGTGTTGGTCCGGTGTAGTAATTCGTTATTCCAGTAGGTGGCGTAAACTATTTTGGTCTGCACAAATGGTAAAATGGCGATCTAAGAGATAGGTGTGCCATGTTCGAATTGCCTCTAGGATCACAAACATCTCCCTTGCGTAAGTCGACCAGACTTGCTTTGCCAGTCCCAACGCTTTACTCATAAACGCGATTGGATGACCCTTTTGTGATAACACTGCCCCAACTCTCGTTCCAGAAGCATCGGTTTCAATAACAAACTCGGAAGTGAAATCGGGCAATGCAAGCACCGGAGTTGAGGTCATAGCCTTTTTCAAAGCCTTAAATGCTTGGGCTGATTCTAAATCCCAAGTAAACTTCCCCTTTTATAATAATCGAGTCAACGGTTGGGCGATCAGACCATAACCTTGGACAAACTTCTGATAGTAACCCGTAAGACCCAGCTCGTAGAGTAGTGACATTTGTGGGTATTAGCCAGCGTACCATTGCCTCTATCTTTCACGGATCTACATGAACCCCTTCCCTAGAGATGTAGTGACCGAGGTATTCTACCTTAATTTGGAGGAAAAGGCATTTTTCTGGCTTGATGTAGAACAGGTGATGTGCTAGGATCCTGAGTGTGCAATGTAAATGGTTCAGATGCTCGTTTATCGTCCGACTGTAGATGAGTATGTCATCGAAGAAGACGGGTATAAAAACCCTTAGAAGTGGCCAAAACATTTTAATGGCTGCCTGGAATGTGGATGGTGTATTGCAAAGCCCGAAGGGCATGACAAGATACTCATAGTACGTGCCCGCTATGTGTCTGAAAAGCTATCTTGCACACGTCATCCAGATGAACCCGTATCTGATGGTAGCCAGCATGCACGTAAATCCAGCTTGAAAAAATAGTGAGCCCTATAAAATTCATCAAGCATGTCATCTATGGTTGGAATTGGGAATTGGTCTTTGACAGTCGCATTATTAAGAGCTCAATAGTCCGTGCAAAATCTCCAAGAGCCATCTTTTTTCTTTACCAATAGCACTGGTGATGAAAATGGACTCATGCTAGGTTGGATAAATCCGACTCTTAACATTTCCTCCACTTGCCGTTCTATTTCTGCTTTTTTTAAAGTGTGCATAACGGTACAGAGAAACATTAACTGTCATAGTTTCATCTTTTAAGCGAATCCAGTGATCAAACCGTCGTCAAGGTGGAAGTGTTCGAGGTTCCTCCAAAACCTGGGAGAATTGGTTTAGCATGTCCTGGATTTCCCTGCGCAGTTGCTGGTCTGTAATAGTACTATTGACCACCCCAGCTCTAACGGCTACAACAAATAATTCTGCACCATATCGCCAGTCTTCGAGCAGGACATTTGCAGTCGCCGGTTGCAGCGATGGAGTATGATCTGTTGTAATGATGTGAGTAGTCTCTCTAGTCCGGAACTCCATGGACATGGAATTATAATCAGCGGTTATTTTTCCCAAGCTTTTCAACCATTGCATCCCAAGTACGATGTCCATTTTCGTGATAGGCAAGGCGTATAACACAGTAATGAATGTATATCTATGGATTGTGAGGGTAACCTGCGCATACTTTTCAGTACACCATAGCTGGTCTCCGTTAGCAATTTTAGCATCAAAGGGAGTGATCAGGGAAACCACCAACTTTAAACGGGTTGCCACCTCCTGCATAATAAAGTTGTGTGTTGATCCTGAGTCGATTAAGACGTTATAACATTGTTGACCGATATATCCACGCACCCGCATAGTACGAGCATCCACACCTCCAACTAGGGCATGTACTGATATTTGGGACTCCACTAGACTTTCTTCATCATCTTACCCTTCACATTATGAGAGTAAATGGTCCTCCCCAATTTCAATAACAAATTGTGATGCTTTACAATAGTGATCGGGTACAAACTTTTCATCACAATTATAGCACAAGTTTTTCTTTCGACAAGTTCACATCTCTTCCACCGTCAGTCTTCTTGTTGTGTTGGATGGAATTGGTTTGAAATTACCCTGTCCAGGTGTAACTATTTGGGATGCTAGCCAACTAGAAGGTTTTATTGTTGATCTTCTGCTTTGTTGTTGTTTCTCCTCAATATGGCGGGCCAATTCCATTGCCTCTGATTACTTTCTGGGATTGAAAAGGTGCACATCGAGGATAGTTCCTCCTTTAGGCCTCCGAGAAACGTCCCTAATAGAGCCTTGGTGGTCCACCCCCGTACTCGTGTGGATAATCTCTCAAATTCCGGAAGATATTCACGTTAAGAACCTGTTTGTTTAATTTTGCTCAGCACTTTATCGTAATTCTCAAAGAGTGTAAGTCCAAAACGTTTTAATATTCCGTTATGTTCTCGAATCGTTTCCAAGAAATATCCTCATGGTTTTGGCAATTCGAGAACCATTGCCACCAATGGTTTGCTTCCCCCTCAAGATGAAAAGAAGCCATCAAAACCTTTTTTGAACCTTGAATTCCTTTGACAGAAAAATACTGTCGCACCCTATCCAACCATACGATTAGATTATCACCCAAAAATTTGGGGAAACCAATCTTTAAGTGGTCTCGTAAATCACCCCGTCGAGGTCCCCTGCGGTCTTCCGTGGGGGTGAATTCGGATTTGCCAGAGGCACTGCTAGATGAGTCGTTTCCTTCCGTCAAACCTATGGAGGAGGAGGAGGAGGAGGAGGAAGAAGAGGAGGAGGAAGAAGAGGAAGAGGAGGAGGAAGAAGAGGAAGAGGAGGAGGAAGAAGAGGAGGAAGAAGAAGAAGAAGAAGAAGAAGAAGAAGAAGAAGAAGAAGAAGAAGAAGAAGAAGAAGAAGAAGAAGAAGAAGAAGAAGAAGAAGAAGAAGAAGAAGAAGAAGAAGAAGAAGAAGAAGAAGAAGAAGAAGAAGAAGAAGAAGAGGAGGAGGAGGAGGAGGAGGAGGAGGAGGAGGAGGAGGAGGAGGAGGAGGAGGAGGAGGAGGAGGAGGAGGAGGAGGAGGAGGAGGAGGAGGAGGAGGAGGAGGAGGAGGAGGAGGAGGAGGAGGAGGAGGAAGAGGAAGAGGAAGAGGAAGAGGAAGAGGAAGAGGAGGAGGAGGAGGAAGAAGAAGAGGAGGAAGAGGAGGAAGAAGAGGAAGAAGAGGGGGAAGAGGAGGAGGATGAAGTGGTCTCCTGTCGCCGTTTCTTTCATCCTGACCTTTTTGGCGATTTGGATTGAGTAGTCGTTGTTAATGACCTTTTCCCAGATCTTTTCTTTTTCTTTAATGATTCCATGTTGATGGATAGGGTATTGAGGGATTTAGTGATTTGGGCGATGAAGTTTTCCAATTGTTCCAGGCGCTCCCGGTTAGTCATGCTTGCTTAGCAATCCCAAAATAGAGGGCTCTGGTACCAATTGATGAAAAAAATATCAAGAACGAGGCCTTTACTCACAGTGTAAATGAGACCAATTATCTATCTCACGGTGATAGAAAAACCAAACAACACTATTAAGCAAATAAATCCATACGTTTTATTAAGCAAAAGGGAGTATTAATACCCCAAACAATCCTAATTGCAAACTAACCCTTGTGCAACAAGGATAGATAATAGCAAGACTAATTTTAATATAACTCGTCTATGAAATAACTAAAAATAGTAATGTTGTAAATTAAATAACTAATTAAATAAGCGTAAGCTATTAATTATCGCAATTGATCAGGAAGCTTCAATAAGTAAAATAGTTCTGGAGTCTTGTACTACTTCTTCGGGCCCGCTTACTATGACGGGTCATTGGG